GCGCCGAGCAGCACGACGCCTCTTCCTCCACCAGTGCCTACTCCCCCAACTGCAACTCAATCATCACTGGGGGAGGGACCAAAGAAGAAGAGGAAGAAATCAATGGCCAAGAAGGCCAGGACCGAGGCGACCTCCCCCCAATCCCAGGAGGAGCCCTCCACTGCTGTTGCCTCTCACTATGGGGTGAGTACTGCTGAACAGCAGGCCTCGTCAGAGTCACCCCAGCTATGTGGCGCATGAGGAATGTGATCCCCATGAAACCCCCCGCCGAACTGAACTCACACCCCCACCCCTTGCAATTCTGCCCGAAGTGGGGCCTGTCGGTGAATGACCGAGCTCAGTTCCCTGAAGCTGCCCGGGAGCTCGTCAAGGGCGCAGTACTCCCACGCGATCATCACTTCATCCAGCTTGCCTCCAACGCCGAGCTGCTGGAGCACTTTTACCTCAGTACCGCCCAGGTGACTTCTTAACTAGTACTTCCCTGACATCCCTTCAAGTTTGCTGTCTTCTTACCTGGCGCTTGATCTGCAGCTCAACGTTGCTGGGGCCGAGCTGGCGCAGCGGTACGAGAATATGGGGGTCAACTTGTCCCAGACCGATGCTGCCAAGGAAAGGCTGTCGACCCAACTCGAGGCAGCCGAGGCCGAGCTAGAGTCCTTGAAGAAACAGCTTGAGGACACCAAATCCTCCTGCGAGTTGGAAAAGAAGAAGGCAGCTGACCTTGCCGTGACCCTGGAGGCCGAACAGAAGAAGTCTACCGAGCTGGTGGAAGCGGCGAAGGAGGAGGGGCGTCAGCTAGGCGTCCAGGAGTTTAAGAAATCTGACCGCTTCATGAACGACCTGGCCATCCTGAATGGACCTGTCCTGCAGCTCGGCTACACGAAAGCCTTAATTGATGTGAAGTCCCTGAATTTGCCGGGCTTTGACCTGAGCAAATGGCCTGATTACAATCCCCAAGCCACCAACCAAATTGACAGGCTTGTGACAGGCTACTCCAATGGGCGCGATCTGGCTGTCTTGGTCGTTGACCCCACTCTTCCCGCCCTCTCTCCCGAACCAGAGCAAGAACAGCAAGGGGAGAGCTAGGCGGGTAGTACATAGCATAGGACTGTAGGATTAAGGCTAGAGTAGGGACCGAGCTGGCCAGCTCGCTTTTGTATGGCCCCCCTCTTGTACATGCCTTTTTGAAATGGAATGCATGGCCTTTTGTCTCACCCAATACTTGTAAAAATTTCCTTTTATTTCAAAACTTTGAATACATTTATAATCCCAGATGCCGAACTACTAAAATAAAAAGCAGACCTGTCCAGCTGACCATTTTCAGCTCGAGCAGGATACTAAAGGAAAAGCCTTAAATTTGAGTTGTGCCAGGTGCGCGGGACTTCGCCTCCATCCAGACGAGCTAGCTTGCAGTAACCAGCTCGGCCAGCTTCCTCTACCACATAGGGGCCTTCCCAGTTTGGGTCAAACTTGTCTGTGCCCACAGCTCGGCTTACGGAATTTTTGCGCAATACCAGGTCCCCTGGCTTGAAAGAAAGGTGCCTTACCCTGGCATTGTAGTAACTTGCGACCTGGTCCTTATACTTAGCCATTCTTATAGCCGCCTCTTCCCTTCGCTGCTCGAGCAGGTCTAGGTCGAGTCGCATCCCTTCCTCGTTGCTCTGGGCCACGAAGTGTTGCACCCTGGCCGAAGACATCCCAATTTTCGCAGGGATCACTGCTTCCACTCCATACGTTAGAGCAAACGGAGTTTCTTGTGTAGCCGTTCGAGGCGTAGTCCGGTAAGCCCATAATATAGTGGGTAGCTCGTCCAGCCAACCCGTCCGAGCAGATTCTATCCTTGTCTTCAAGCCGTGCAGGATGGTTCTGTTAACATTTTCGACCTGTCCATTGGCTTGGGGGTGCCCTACTGAGGTGAAGTGCTGCTGGATACCGAGCTCGGTGCACCACTCCTGAAGCGATTGATCCGCGAACTGTCGGCCATTATCCGAAATGAGAACCCTAGGTATGCCAAATCGGCAGACTACGTTCCTCCAAAGGAACTTGTGTATCGACCTGCTGCTGATCGTACTGAACGGCTCAGCTTTTACCCACTTGGTGAAGTAATCAATCGCTACTACCAAGTATTCATAACCACCAGGAACTCGGGGGAAAGGTCCTAACAAGTCAATTCCCCACTGGAAGAACGGCCACGGGTTATGAAGAGGGATCATTTCCTGAGTTGGGGCGTGATGAACTGGGGCATGCAACTGGCATGATTTACACCTGGCCACCAGTTCGGCAGAGTCCCTGAAGATGGTCGGCCAATAGTATCCAGCCAGCATCCCCTTTTTAGCCAATACTCTGGGACCAACATGGTTGCCGCAGATGCCGTCATGCAGCTTGCGCAGGACATAGCTCCCTTCTTCGGACGTTACACACTTCAACCAGGGCTGTAAGTACGACTTCCTGTACAGGACTCCGTGTGTGAGCACGTATTTCTGTGATTTTAGGAGGATCTTGCGAGCCTCTGTTCTACTCAGTGGGAGCTCACCCTGAGCCAAATATCGAACAATAGGATCCATCCAAGAGCTTACCACCTGGATGACCGCAGCACTGACCTGGTCATACGCCCGACTTCTGACGATCTCCACCACTATCTCCCGACCTAAGATGCCAGCTGAGGTGGAGGCTAGTTTGGACAGGGCATCAGCTCTCTTGTTCTGACTCCGCGGAATCTGCTCAAGCGCGAACTGTTCGAACAGGCCCTTCAGCTCATGCGCCTTGGCCACATATCTTCTCAGTGTCCCCTCCTTGACCTCGTAGCTTCCCCCTACCTGGTTCACTATCAGTTGCGAGTCGCTATAGACTTGTATCGATCTTGCCCCTAACTTCCGGGCCATTTCCATCCCTGCAATCAGAGCCTCATATTCTGATTCATTGTTAGAAGCTCTAAAATCGAACCTTAGTGCATAGGATAGCTCCTCCCCAGTAGGGCTGATTAGGAGGAGCCCGGCACCACATCCTTCTTTACTTGACACGCCATCCACGTACAACGTCCAGGCGGGATCAGCTCGTCCCGCAGCCTCAGCAACCTTCCCGGCTTGAGCAGTCTCTCTGGCCAGTTCAGCCTTGACTGCTTTTCCAGAATGCTTGGCCTCGGCAGCGTCTAATGCCTGTTCGACCTTTGCTGCCTCTTCGGCCTGTCTGACCTCGGCAGTTCCTTGGGTCTGCTTGGCCTCTGCTGCTTCTCTGGCCTGCCTACCCTCAGCAGTTTCTTCGGCCAGCTCGGCCTCAACTGCCTTTTTGGGCCTACCGACCTCTGTTACCTGGATGGCCTTAGTGACCTCGGCAGCGTCCCCAGCCTGTAAGACCTCTGCTGCTTCTTGGGCCTGGGTGGCCTTGGTAATTTTTGGGGTCTGCAAGGGTTTGGCCGCTTGCCTGATAGGCGCGTCTTTAGCTTCTCTGCCTTTCCCGACCTGTACGTCCTTGGCCTGACCGTCCTCCGTTTCGAGCGACCCAAAAGAGACACCATCCGCTATGAACTCCGCTAGTGCTTGGGCTTTGATAGCCGTCCGGGGCTGATATCCCATGTCGTATTCTGACAACTCCACAGCCCACTTCACCATCCGCTCTGAGGACTCAGGCTTGGAAAGGATCTGCTTCAGGGGCTGGTCCGTCGTGACCACCACGGGGTGGGTTTGGAAGTATGTCCTGAGCTTCCGAGCTGCATGTACTAATGCCAAAACATATCGCTCCACCGTCGAGTATCTTACCTCGGCCCCTTGTAGGGCACGACTGACATAATATACTGGTTTCTGCACTTTGTTCTCCTCTCGTACCAGCACAGCGCTAATGGCCCCTTCCCCCACCGCTAAGTAGAGGAACAAAGTCTCCCCCAGCTCGGGGGAGGTCAAGGCGGGTAACCGAGTGAGGTGTGCCTTCAGTTCATCGAACGTCCTCTGGCACTCAGGGCTCCACTCGAACTGCCGCCCTCCTTTCAAGGCCTTGAAGAAAGGCGACCCCCGAACTGCTGATTTGGACAGGAACCTGTTCAAGGCTGCCATCCTTCCTGTCAGACGTTGCACCTCTTTAATATTCCTAGGTGGAGCCATGTCCATGATAGCCTTGATCTTGTCTGGGTTGGCTCTCACCCCTTCTTTAGAAATCATGTAGCCCAGGAACTTTCCCGACCTGACCCCAAAGGTACACTTCTTTGGGTTTAGCTGCATTCGTGAGCTCCGGAGAACCTCAAAAACTTCTCTCAAGTCAGAGATGAACTGCTCCTGGGTTCGACTTTTCACCAGCATATCGTCCACATAGACCTCCAGGTTTCGACCGATCTGATTTTTGAACAGCTTGTTTACCAACCTCTGATAGGTTGGCCCTGCGTTCTTTAGCCCGAAGGGCATGGTAACGTAATAATATGTTCCGTCCTCGGTGATAAACGAGGTCTTCTCTTGATCCTTCTCATCCAGGGCTATCTGATGATACCCCTTGAAAGCGTCCAAGAAACAAAAGATCTCATAACCAGCTGTCGAATCCACGAGATGGTCAATCCGTGCAAGTGGATAACAATCCTTTGGGCAAGCCTTATTTAAATCAGTGAAATTCACACACATCCTCCAGGCTTTCTCCTCCTTCTTGACCAGCACCGGATTGGCCAGCCAGGTCGGGTAGTAGACTTTCTTAACGATCTTGGCCTCCAGCAGCTTACCCACCTCACTTTTGACGACCTCCTTTCGCTCAGGAGCAAAGTTCCTCTTCTTCTGTTTCACAGGTCGGACGCTGGGATCCACCTGTAGCCTATGAACTGCCAGCTCGGTGGGGATTCCTGGCATCTCATCAGCACTCCAAGCGAAGATCTCAGCATATTCCTCCACGAGAGATTCCAAAGAACTCCTGACCAGCTCGGCTAGGCCAGTGCCGACCTTCACTGTGCGCTCAGGTCGGCCAGGCTGGACGGGTAGCTCGGCTAACCCCTCGTCTGTCTCCAATCTTTCTCCTTTCTCCATGGGCTCTCAGGGCTCTAAGCAAACTGTTTGAGCTACCAACTTCTCCTTGCCCTTGAGGGTGGCAATGTAGCATGCCCTGGCCACCTCTGGATCCCCGAGCACCTCAGCCACCCCCTCAGGAGTAGGAAACTTCATGCTGAGGTGCAACGTGGAGCAAACAGCTCGGAGGGCATTCAGTGTGGGCCGTCCCAGAATCATATTGTACGACGACGGCTCCTTAACCACCGCGAAGTTTACCGGAACAATTCGGCACTTCGGGGATACTCCCACCGTAACCATGAGAGTGATCATTCCTTCCGGCCTCACGGGAGGGCCTGCAAACCCGATCAATGGAGTCCGAATCGGGACGAGCTGTCTATCCTCCAGCTGCAGCTCCTTAAAAGTCTTGTAATACAGCACGTCTATAGCACTTCCGTTGTCTATGTATAACTTCCTCACTTTGTAATTACAGGTGATAACTTCTATCACAATAGCTTCATGATTGTTGGAGGCCAGAGGGACTGCGTCCTCAGGTCCGTAGATAATTTCCTCGTACATCTTCAATCGCTTGGCCGAACTCTCCCCCGCGGGGGAAGGTCGATTGTGCCGCCGAGCTGTGTGACTATCCCCGCCAGCCGGTCCTCCTGCAATAGTATTAATCACCCCTGCTAGATTCTGTGCTTCCTGCTCAGGAGTTCGACCATGAGGCCCCTGAGGTCGATCCCGGTGGTAGCTCGGACGTTCCGACCTGGGTCTCCCTCGTGGCTGGTCAGCTCGGTCATCTCGTATGAACTGCCCGAGGTGGCCCCGTTTGATCAGTTTTTCAACATCTTTCTTAAGGTGGCGGCAGTCCTCTGTGTCGTGCCCCACATCTCGATGATAAGCGCAAAACAGACCTTGGTCCCGTCTACTTTTGTCCCCAGCCAAAGGTCGAGGAGGTCGGGAGAGCCCCTCCTGTTCCATCACTGCGAGCACCCGAGCTCGAGGTGCCGTGAGGCTGGTCCAGGATTTGTCTCCTCCCATTGGACGGCTCCTGGGGAGGCGGTCATAAGCGTTTTTCCTTCCCGAGCCAGGCCGTGCCTCCCCCTGGTCGGCGCCCCTCCTGCGCTTGTCATCCCTTAATCTTTCCTGGGCACTTTTAAGACGGTTGGCTTCCTCCGCATTGGCCTTCTCATGAGCTCGGTCTAGCATTTCCTGCACTGACTTGGGAGGTTTCTCCACGAGCTCGATGTAGAGCTTCTGTTTGCGCAGCCCATTGATGAAGGCAGCCATGACCACCTTGTCATCGCGATCTCGAACCTGAAGGGACTCGTTATTGAAACGCACCATGTACTCACGTAAGGATTCCTCAGGCCTTTGCTGGATAGTCATCAGGTGCGCCGTGCTTTTGGAGAAGGCTTGCGATGAGACGAACTGGGCCGCAAACAGTCGAGCGAGCTGGACAAAGGACCGAATGGACCTGGGGGGAAGTCCCTGGAACCATTGACGTGCCTTACCCTCCAAAAACATTGGGAAAGTCTTGCACCTGACCGCATTTGCAGCAGTTTGCAGACGCATTTGGGTCAGGAAGGCAAACAAGCGATCCTCCGGATCCGTGGTCGCATCGTAAGACTTCATGCTAGGTATCTTGAACTTCGCAGGCAACGGATAGTCCTCAATATCGGGCACGAAAGGGGAAGCGATGTACTTATCCGCCTCTGTGTCCAAGAGCAGGTCCAGCTCGTCCTGCACCTGGAGCTGCTCTTTCCGAGGCGAGAGCTCATCCTTAGAGTACCTCCGGACAGGCTCCGGATGCTCAGTTCGGGAGTGCTTGTGAGAGGGCTCCCCGATGTCAATGTGTTCGCGCGTGGGCTCCCGGCGCACTCGCTTGAGCTGGGGGTTAGGGCTCCCAGTCCTGGACTCGGTTGGACCCTCCTCCGAGTTCTTTGGCCCCTGGCCCAGATGTCCTCCCGTCTGCCCCCTGAGGTAATTCACAATGGCCTCAAAAGTGGGCAGGTTCCCTGCTACCGCCTGAACCAATTGCTCAGGCGGGATCCGTAAGGGTCCCGCACCCTCGCCTCCAGGGGTCGGACTCCGGGCAGACTGATGGGGACCGCTTCCTCCATTTCCCTTGGATCCATCGGCATTCCTCTGAGACCTCGTTTTTGGCATGATTCGCAAGGAATGAATTACGTGTTCCCACAGACGGCGCCAATTGATGTGACTGCCAAAAACCAGATCCGAGCTGAGCAGTAGCGTCCCGAGCTGATCAGGCGTAGTCGACCTGAGAGGGAGCCGAGCTAATGTTCCTGCAAAGAAAGGTCAAAGGCGGGACGGGTATCCCCGGAGTATCTCCGACGGCCAAGTCAGTGAAACTTGTATCGGAATGTAATAGTTTAGATTACTTCTGAAAGCGTACCTTCTGTTATCTTTTAGGTGTGGTTTATATAGAGCAGAATGAGTTGTAGTTTCCTTGTGGGAGTCAGAGTCCCCTTAGGGTTTGGAGTCTTCTTAGGGTTTTGGGCGGCGGCTCCTACAAGTTCGGAGACGGCAGCACATGAGGCCCACCATAGGGAACAACTGGTATGGCCGAGCTGGTATCTCCCTGCCGGGCTGACGTGTGCGCGACGTGAGGCTTCTCTCTGGTCGACCTGATATGTGTAGTTTGCCGAGCTGACACGTGTCACGCGTGGATTTGCCCTACTACAATAACAAACCTAAAGCCTTTTGCTTTCTTAATTTCTGGACATCTAATTCTAATTTCGAGGGCATTGGAGTAGTTCTTTTTTAGTACTTCCTTTGGGCAGCGAAGCTACGTAGTTTGAAGAACGTATTGCAGTTGTGGTCCAAGACAACCTATGGTGACATTTTTCAAGCTGTTAAAGACACGGAGGCAGCTCCTGTACAAGCTGAGGCTAGGTTTGATTTAGGAGATGTTTTTGTTTATGAGCTTAATGAGGTGAGGGCCAAGCTTCGCTATACTTCGAGCATTGAGGAAAAGTTATGGCAGCAAAAGGCTAGAATTAAGTGGCTGCGTGATGGGGACAAGAATACTAAATTTTTCCACTCAACTATTGCAGAACGCCGAAGCAGATCGGTTATTCACCGTATCAAGAACTCAGGTGAAACTTGGATTTTGACAGGTTGAAATCTGTACAATAAAAAATAACCACTCAAGAAAAAAATATAACTTTAATATATAGCGATGAGCAGGGTCAAATTTACAGGGATTGGAGATAATTTATTTCTTTTCTAGCTGAGATAAAAAAGGGGGGGTTTTGGAGAAACTTAAAATTAACCAACTAAATTCAGTAAAATCAAATTAACACAAATAAAATAAAATTGAATCAATAATAGCAAAACTCTAGCTAGAGAAATAACTATCAGACAAAGTTCATAAATCGATCATAGATGCAATGATGAATTCAATTATTTATTGATAAATTAGTTCCAGCATAAAAGCCAACCCTTCCTTATTTTGTCGAATAGTTAAGGTACGACCGTTGATTATTTCTCTAATCAGGAAATAACCCTAGATATGACCATAGAAGTTTAATTTTCCAATTGCATGAGTAATTAGAAGAGTCTAATTCTAACCAATCGACACGCTACGGGGGTCTCTTTAAGTTAGATTATTCGTTTCCCTAACACAAACCTAGTTATGCCAGTTGCTACTAGAATTAAAACAATCTAACAATTACGGATCAAATCGCTTCAATTAGCAATCGACTATCAAGTCAATTCAAATACCGGGCCCTTTGATATTCGAATAACATAATAGTCATAAATACCAAAGAACAAATAAATACTAACAAATAAAAAAATAGTGTAATTGATTCGGTCTCACAGTTTGTAGAACAAAGTCTTCAAGCTATCCTCAAGCTAGAAAAAGAATTTAGCTACGCATTCTTGAGAGAAATCCGCAAGACTCCATTGATAGCAATTGCGTATCGTTTTTTTTCTCTAAAACTAACGAAAGACGAGAAGGTAAGAAAAAAGTGGCGGTCGTGTCTGATACTTCAAAGAGTCCACCCAAAATTGTTGTTGGGCAACTCCTAATCAAATGGGGATCCGACTTTCCTAATTCCTCTTGTTTCCTACATAACCTCAACTACTAATAATAAGATATGTTCTCCAAAATAGAAAAAGACTAAAGATAATATTTCAAGTTTCTTAATCCAATACTAAGACTAATAATGAAAATTACGATCTTCAAAATCTTCCTCCAAAAACTGCCTTGAATTCGATTCAGATTTGGAAATCGATCCCTAACGCATCACCATCAAGGTAATTTTTAGAATGCTGAAAAGTTGCTCCATTTAATCACGTCTCACATAATTCCCTACAATTAACACAATTAACCAAATATAATGTTTGATGGTGACGGGTTTATAATGTGTTTGTAATACAAATTAATGTTTGATGGTGACTTGAACAAAAAATCGAGAGCATTAAAAGTTCAAGAAGATTACAGATCCATAGTGTAATTTCTTAAGAAAAATTAGACAGTCAACTTTTGTGATTATTCAACGGACTGCAGGTTTTCAAACTCAAAACCTTGTTATTACAGATACCTTCGTGCCTAAGGTCCTAAACATGTCAACAGAAACTCACAAACAACCAAACAAGATTCACAAACATCTTCATAATTTAAGATTGTGCCAAGCCTATTTCTCCCATTTCAACCCCGGTAGACAGGAATGAGTTATCTGAATTCCTAACCGAGCAATTTGCTCGAATTTCACCTCGAGTCCCAGTCAATACGTTCAGCTGCCCCATCTTTATCATTGCATCCACAAACTTCTCAAAAAAGAGTGACTGATTAACTGCAAAACTCGTAACAAGTCCTCTCGTCCTACCATCAGTGTACAAGTCCTGGTCCGATGTGAAGAGACCTTGACGGTTCATAAGATCAACATAGTACTTATTATCAAACTTGTTTGGACTTCTAATGTCCATAATAGTTGTGTTATTTGAATCTTTGGTGGGACAAACCCCTTTAAGGTTGTTAGCAAAGGTTTTGTCCATTGTTGGATCTTGATTTGGATATAGCCTAGCAGTGAAGGAAGTGCAATGGCCCCTTCCGATCGTGTGTGCACCAGAAAGAGCCACAGCATCAGTTGCATCAAAATTTTTGGTTGCAAGAGATGTTAGGATGGTACTTGCATTAGCAAAGGGTGGAATAAGATTAGCTATGGTTGCATTTGCTGTAGCAAAGTTGAGTCCGTCCCTTCTTCCTAATGGAACATCATACTCAGGGCCACCAGTCTGCAATAACAAGAAAATTGACAACAATTGTTAGATGCAAAGCTCAAATTTTCAAGTGCACTCCTAAGGAGGTAATAGTACAGTATGTTACTCTGATTTTGTAAATTAGTTCTTTTGTTGTGTAGTCTAAATAGTGCCAGTTTTAGAATATCATATGAGCTCGCCAATATGTTTTAGCAACGAATATGCCTCAATTTTTTCATCATAATCTACAAACAATTTTTAAAATTTTATTTTATCAATTTGCTTTTGCAACTCTCCTTTTCATGTAGTTGTAGATCGATCAACAAATCTAAAATATGAAGAAGACTTTTTAGTTGTTTGCGGTCAGCTACAACTACTTTTCCAGATCACCATATTTTTGTATGCTTATTTTCTGTACTATTTTCTGGGTTGCGTCTATGGTGGAAAGCTGAGTCAGCTTTGTACCGTAGGCAGAACAAATGGAATCAGGACAGCACATGAGCATGGGCCAGGCAAAGGACAGCGACCGTGAAATAGCTACCGAAACTGGGCAGAAGGAGTTGTAAAGATGGGACCCACTTTAGTATATGAACTGTATTATTGTAAATAAACATGCACCCGCACAAGTTGTGGGCATGTTTTATGAATCCCAAAACAAACTACGGTTACCTGATGATGATTAACATCAGGTAAGCATTTATAGTTTAAGATTGGAGTACACGTGGCTTAATTAGATGATTTATTAGAAACATAATTAGCACAGTACTTCAAGAAATTAGAATCGTGACATAATTGACCCAGTAGATTTTAATTTAAATTTAGAAATTAGATAAATAATCTTATATGTAACATGGTGACTTTTAAATTAATATCGAATTTGTAGATGGTAATCATAAACTTAATTAACATAGCACTTCAAGAAACTATAATTGAGATTGTAGATAAAATAATCATAAATTTTAGAAGAAAATACTCTCCTCTTTGAATAATAAAAAATTTAGAGTGGCAAGTATTAATCTCTTTTTCTTGGTAATCTTATTAATATTGAAAAATATATATAAAGAGAGAGAGAGTGTGTGAGAGTGAGAGAGAGAGACCTAGAATTTGTCTTATGCACTAATATAATATTAAGTACCAATCATTCATTGACTTTTCTTTCTCTTTACTTACAATTGATCATTAATTCATTTTGCATACTCTCAAAACAGTAAGTTTAAAAAAATTACTCATGGTTTGGGGATTGCATCACATATTTCATGAATTTTCACAACAAAATGATCTACACAAATTATGGCATGCATCTAGGTAGTTAGTTATACACTATCAATTTATTTTAGATTAATCTTTTTTTATACCATCCATCCAATATTTGGAATTTCCGATTTCAATTTCGTTTTATAATATATATATTAATATTTATTTATTTATTTATAGATATAATAATATTTTTTATTTCAATTTCATTTTATAATATGTATATTTATGTATATTTATATATATAATAATATTTTTATAATATTTTTATATATAATAATATTTTTATAATATATTTATATATAATAATATTTTTTATAATATATGCAATATAAAATTTATATTATATAACAACACATCTAACAAAAAAGAAAAAAAAGGTTTCCGAATTCGGTGAATTAAAAATTTACCAAATTCCGAATCGAATTTGGAATCGAAATCGAAATCGGAATTGGTGAATTCGAAATTGAAATCGATCGGTAATTCCTATGCCAAAATTCCAAAAAATTTCGAATTCAAACTTCTGAATTACCGAATTCGAATTCGATGCACACCCCTACCAAGAAACTAGAATTGAGATTATAGATAAAAAGTTCATAAACATAAATCACATAATACAAAAGTTTCAAAGATTGAACGTTTGAACTATTGAAATAACTAGATAGTTACCAACTTAAGTTCTAACT